CCAGCTCCCTACCTCTGTGGTCTTCCCCTGGAATCACTCTGGATAATCAACATCTCTCTTATCCTGATTGGCCCAAAACACAGATGGGTGTCTCCTGCTGTTGAGCAAAAGGAAAGAAGCACTTATTTTAGGTGATTTCACACCACCCCTTTAACAAATGGCTGGCAGTTGTGCTTGTAATTTCCTGTGTGTCAAGCTGCATCAGCACAGAGCTTTTGTAGCCACTGGATTAAACTTGGCATCCCACACTGAAAACTCAAGAGTGAAATTCTCAGCTGGTTGCTTCCTGACTTTCATGGTCTTCTTTCTCATCAAGTGTAATATAATTAGTGTGGATGAAAAATTACTGTTGTGTCCACACATTTTAGTCTACAACAGATCTCACACTCTTTGCAGGGTACATTCTGAGAGGCTTCAAACAATGCAATGCTGGTAAATAAGTGAGCATCTTGTTGCACACTTTCTCCTCAACATCTACCTGCTGTAGCTCTGCAAAGCCTATCGAGCACAGGGAACAGCTAGATCTCCCCAAGTCAGGGGTTCTGTTTGTTTAGTGTGTCTCTTCTACTGTGAGTGTGAATTCCTTAGTGTATTTTTGTGGGCACAGAAGGGGATAGGACAGTGGTTTGCCCCTCAGAGTGAGGCTGTCAGCATCTTGAGCAAATCATAGACCAGTTATCCCTGGTCATTGTCAGAGCTTTTTGATTTACACTGCTTAGAAATGATGTACCACTTAGAGAGGCCTCTGAGTGGCATAAATTCAGCTGTCAGGCAAGGGAGACCTTCTTTGAAGATGCTGTTGAAATGACTCTAGCTGTTTCAAAACCAAGAGAAAAAACCTATTTGTTTTAGCCTTCATCTGGATGAAGTTCAGTTTAATCCTCATATATATGAGCTCCTGAGCCACGTCATTTTGTCTGTTTTGTGCTTCATAAAAACTGTGCACTAAAACCCATTCTGCTGATTGCTGGCTGGTACTTGTCAACAACTCCAGTCATGGACAGCCCACAGCTTCCTAAAGCCGCTCCTTGAGAGCTTCCCTCTCACTGGCATCAACATGTTTTTAGAGTATTTTTCCTGAATGCTCCTTGTTTATATAGCAATATTATCTAACTTATGCTATAATTTTTATGTAAGGAGGAAATGAGTGGTGGGTTTTGGTTTGTTGGGGTTTTGTTGTGGGGGTTTTGGTTTTTATGTTTTCTTGTAATTTTATTCTGGTGCAGCTGGGTATAACAGCTAAAACAGTATTCATATCTAGTACATGTGGTCAGTAATACTCTGAGTGGTCCAGGAACTTGCCAGCTAAACTCTGAAGAGACAAGACAATTAATTGACTTGAGAAGTGTGATTGAACCTCTAGCTAATCTCACAACAAACCTTTTGACTGTGACAGGAGATACCCTCACAACAGACTTTTATGAAGGGCAAGAGACTTCTTCAGGCAGCTCTTGCCTGTGCCTGCAGCAACTGATAAACATTTTTTGTCTGCTTAAATGTGTTGATTGTCTTCTGCAGAGGAAAATGCCTGAGGCGTGGTGGTGGTGTCTGGTACAAATGGGCTTTCCAGAACAGACAAGCTGTAGATACTTTATAGGAAGTGGAAACTACTCCTGCAAATATAGAAATCGTCATGTAGTCTTTTGTACCTAGATGAGATGGTCATATTTTGGATCCAGCTTAGAAAATTTGAGACTGTAGTTCAAAATAAACTGTCAAGCATTTGGATATACAGGTGATGATTTTGTGCAGGTCCCATCTCAGCAAGACCTCTGCTGTGCTCTCCTGTTCACTGGAGGTAACTTCTGAGGGAGCCAGATATTCAGGAAGAGCCTATCCATAGCCACTGCTCCACAACCTGAAGGAAGTGGAGACTTTTCTCTGAGGAACAAATTTGTTGAGACTTGTTGATCAGTCAATTCCCGCTAGAAACATTCCACAATTTCTGTTGTCTTTCACCTTATTTTAGGCAGCCAACATTTCACTCCAAATGGTATCTGCAGAAGACAAGTTGGCAAAGAGGATTCTGGCAAGGAAAAAGCATGACAAATTGAAGAAAAAAGATAAGTTGCTATGGAATTTTCAAAACAAATTAATTCTTTTTACCCTCATTCTATTCATTTTAGGAGTTGTAACCTGGACATTACTGTGGCTCTTCATTGGTGAGTTGCTGAAAGTTCATGCAACTCCATATATCATTATTGCCAATAGTACTTTCAGATGACTTTAGGATCTCAGTTGTCGTGAAGGCTGTTTCTAAAGTAGACATGGAAATTGTAAAATGGGGTCTGTAAAGCTTTTGTCTTTGCTAAGACCTAACAAGTAATCAGAAAAGCTGGCTTTAGGGAGCATGACTTTATTTCAGAGGTATGAAAAGCATTTTAATGTGCAAGCTGATTTGCACAGACCTGACAGGTTTTTACGAGCTTGATTCCTCAGAAATGTTGCCTTTCACTATGTTTCCTGGCCTTCTGAAGTTCAGGTAAGTACATTATTTTTCAGAATTGATTTAAGGAAGTAAAAAGGGAATAAAATAAATATGTGAGTAATTAAGCATTAAAAGCTATGTTTTCCTCTTTAGGCCCCTGATGCTAATACTGCCTAAGATACCTTAGGGATGCTCCAGAATCTGGATGTTGATTTTGCCTTCACTTATGCTGGCTTGTTTGTATGGTGGTATCTTATCTTGTGTGTAGGTAACAGGAGATCAATTAACCATAATTTGGTACAAATCTAGAACAGTTTCGCTATAAAAGTGTAGTGTTCTTTGGGTAGTTGTTTCAAATGACAAAGTTGATTAAGCCAAATAGATTAATTTGGTTTAGAATTTAATAAAACCCTTAATTGTAATTAAAAAATGGCTAACTATCTTCTTTGTTTCTTGCAGTTCAGGCAGAAGACAAAGATGCATTGTATTTTGTTGGACTGTTTCGTGTTGCCAACAAGGAGTTTCTTCCAGAATATAGGCAGAAAGAGTCAAAGGAATTCCTCTCTATGGCACAGAGTGTGCAGCATGTGGTAAGATGGGTGGGCTGCTTGGTTAGCAAAAAAAGATCAGAGTTGAGGACAAGTGATGTTTAGATGCCATTGAGGCTGCAGTGGTGTATTTTTACCCCTTCCCCCTCGGAGGATCATGTGCAAGCGTTGGCTGTCTGGAGGTATGAAGGAACTGACTGCTTTCAGCTTGTTAATCACACAGAGTTTTGAATGGATCTGGTTTTTACATTTGACTAAAAATGTATGTACTTTCACCCATAAATTATGATCTATGACTAAAAATCTACAAAAGTCCTTAAACTCAGTTGCCACTTTGGAAACGTCAAATAAGTGAAATCTCAAAATCTTTTGCATTTACATTGGGATCTTCTGCCTTAAAGCATCTATACCCTAGGGATCACAAACAAATTTCAGAAAGAAGTTTAGATTTCCTTCTGGTACTAGGTATTCTAAAGACCATTAAACTTCCCAAATACCTTGCATCAGTCAAAGCAAAAATAGAACTCTGGATCAATAGCTGCTCTACAGTGGGAAGAAAGGGGTGTGGGGGGGTAATCTTGTTTAAAAGGGAATTTGACTTCAAAGACATTTGGTGTAGGGAGCAAAAATACATTTTTGCCAGGAACTGCAATGCTGTCCACATAAGGATTCAAGTGGCTGTATGAAAACTGGTAAACAAAAACAAAAACAAAAGTTAGATGCAACCAATAAATTTTTCAATAATTGCTAAGTTTTTCTCACTTTATAATGTGAACTAATGTTCCTATTTTCCAGCTCTTTCCAAGTCCTGCATATTAATCATTGAAGTTCTTTCAGATAACCAGTGCAGGGCATCACCTTTCCCTGCTCTCCATGGAGCAGCTCTAATGCCCTGTTTTCCCTATGTCTTGCTCTTGTCCCAGAGCATCCTGCCCATGTCATACATAGTGGAGAGAGACAACAGAGAGGTGTTGCAGCGCTGCCAGTGTCACCACCTCCTACTTGAACATTACATAGAATTTATTTTTTATCTGTGAACTTTGCCTGAACTCATCAATGGATTTTGCATTGCTGAAACTGGCAACCTTAACTGTTGACTGAAATTGTTAGTAGGGGATTTGAGATTTTGTTTGTTCTCCTCAAAACCCTTTTGTTACTAGCTGCTGGCCCAGAGACCCCAAGTGGTGGTAGAAAAACCTCTCAAGATAGGTTCTTTCCATTTGATAAGTAACAGTAATACATAAAATCTCTTGTACTTAATCTAGAGCAAGACTGAGCTCTACCCACCTTATTTAGGCCCGTAAAATTAAGTTTAAACTTGCTGTTTCAAATGATGAAAGTTAGGGATTAATATGGATGTGAATTTTACAGCCTTTGCAATATTCTGTGTCATAGTCCTTTGCATGTTAGTTTTAATCATAAAGCAGCAGGGTTAGGTCTGAACAGCTTGAGGTACATGCCACCTTGTGGCTTTGAACATGATGGGGAGAGGAAGATTACTGTCACACCAGTATTGCCACAGTCCAGCAACAGGGACTTATCAGGAGCTTACTTTGCCCAAAGGCAGTCCTTCAGCAGGGAACAGGCAGAGATTTTGCTTCTCCATGTTTTACACTATGTGTATTGGAAAGAATTATGTTAATACTAAGCTGTTGATGAAGAAAATAGACACAAAGAAATCAAAGTGCAAAAAATTCAATGGGCACATTAAAAAACAATTTCTTAGCTGTGAGGGGAATCAAGCACTGGGGTTCTCATCTAGGGAAGGTGTGGAGTCTCCATTCTTGAAGGTAATCAACTGGAAATGACCCTGAGCAACGTGGTATAGTCGACCCTGCTTTGAGCAGTGGGATTGGACTAGATGCTCTCCAGAGGCCCTTTGCTATCTCAGTCTTTCTATGATTCTGTGGGAAAAGCTCTGGTATGTGCTGTTCACTGCACCTTAGTAACAACACCAAAAAAATTGTTGTGAGTGTGTGAGCATTTTTTGAAGTTTGGCCTTAAGTTTTAGCACCTAGATAGGGATGCCCTCTGTGTTTGGGATTTTCTGGGTGAAGGTTGTGCAACTGTTGTCAAAATTCATTTATATGGAAAGAGCATTATTGTATATGCCAGCTGGCCATGGGCAGAAGATTTGATGTTTCCTGGGAATGCTGGATTTGTTACAGATGCATTGAAGAGCGGGTCTGTCCATCTCCTATTCTGCCTGGCTTGGCTGATGTATGTCTGGAAGTGTGTGAATGTTCTGTAATCTTGGTGGAAAATAGGTTGTTCCTAGAAAAGCCTAGGCATATAGCATCTCTAGATGTGACTGGTTTTAAGAATTGTAAATCTTTATACTTTGTCTTTCAGATTAACTTGGTATACACAACTTCTTCTTTCTCCAAATTTTATAAGCAGTCCACTGTCTCAGAAGTCAGGTAAAACTGTGGTTAAAGTAATTGCTTTTCTGCTCGGCAGTAGATAATTTAATAAGCCCACAAAACAAGCTTATTTTTAATAGTTATAATTCAATGTCTTTGCTATGTACTTGAACTGGTAGCATAATAGGTATATAACCTATACCAATCCACTTAACAAAAGTAAGGCAAACTAAAGTCATATAAACAGTTCCTTGTCTGCCAGAAATACAATGCAAGATGAACAAAAATAATTTCAGTGAGAAGGTTTGGTGATCCTTTGGCTCGTGTAGAAGTTTAACCACTTAAACATGCTGTTGGAGCACAGCTCTGTGTTATTGATTAAATTGCACATATTTTGTGAGTAATGTTACTGGAATAAAAGCATTTTCTACTTAAGAAGTAGGAAATCTATGCAATAAAGTATTCTTACCCTTATATTAATGTTTGCAGCTAATGTTAGAAGAACCAAATACAGTTTTGGTTCAGAAACTGGAGGGTTTTAGGCTGTGTTTGATTCAAAGGTCTTTCTCCCCACTAAGGAGGTAGAGATTAGTGTGATCATACATGGCCTCTAATGTGTTACCTAAATAGTCTAGGAATCATTTCCTACATACTGCAACACACAGTCCAGGGTGAGATACATACCACTGCAGAGCTCTGCATTTCTGGAGATGATAATTCTACTGTTTCTGTTCTACTATTTCTGTTTTGATCTTTAGGAAATAGTCCAGCTCTAATTCATGCGTAGACAATGTGATTTCCATAGATCTCCATAGTTAGGAGCCCTCAGGAAATCAGCCTACTGAATATTCCCAACTGGATGTGAAGAGTGTGTTTTGGGATTTGTCTTGTTCGTTGCTTTCTTTAAGGAGAAAATATACATTCATTGGGTTAAAGTAAATATAAATATGGAGAAAAGCCATGCACTTCTGAATTTGTGCTTCAAAACCTTGGGCTAAGTCTAGTCTTCAGAGGACTTCCAACAGGGTGATAACCTGAGCTCTTTATTTCAGTAACAACAACAATGGAGGCCTTCTTATTCATTTCTGGATCGTATTTGTGGTACCACAGGCGAAGGGGCAAGTGCTGTGTGAGGATTGTGTGGCTGCCATTTTAAAGGATTCCATTCAGACAAGTATCATTAACCGGACTTCGGTGGGAAGTCTTCAGGGCCTTGCAGTCGACATGGATTCCATTGTCCTAAGTGGTTAGTACTAGAACACATCCTTGAGGAAACACTTCATGAAACAGATGTTTTTACTTTGAATTAGAACATTCTATAAATAAACTAAAATCTTGATCCTACATCTCTAGCTTCTATTATTAAAATTGGAATAGAAGAAAAAAACTGAGAAGAAAAATAAGAATGAGATTTGAGGTCAAATCAGGGCACAAATTGTCCTTGTAAGCAGTGATTGCCAAACTTGCTGTATTGGGAGTGCTTATGTTCATAATCAGGAGGTAAAATGGATACATTTGTCAGCAGATTTGGGTTAGTCTGTGATTTTAAAAGCATAAAAACATGAAGGGTTAAGGTGGATCACTTAATTTAAAATGAGACTGTTATCACTCCTTTATTAAAGATTCAAGAACACATTATCAAGGTGCCCATTTGTTAAATAACTCTTGTGCCCTTCCTGTCTGGGGAACAAACTCACAACCCGTGATTCAAGCATATTTAATGTATGAAACTACAAAATGTTTAATGATTTTCCATTCTAAGGACATCAGCCAGAAAATGACATCCAGGGTACCTCTGTCTCAGTCCTTCAACTGACTTTCACTGCTTAATTGCCATGCAGTGTCTTCTTGCCTCACCTCCAAAGCTGCTTGCAGAATTTTCAGAAATGAAGGGGGCTAGGGCAGCCCCCTCACTGGGAAAAGTGTTTTGTCCTGTGTGTTCAGTGTTAGGACTGAGGTGTGGTTGAATTAAACCCTGAATTCTGGATCTCAGGCAAACAAAAACACTCACACAACTCTTTTTCTATGCAGCAGGTCTTCGGTCAGATTATTGGTCAACAACGGGAGCAGGTAATTCAACTTTTTGGCAACCTCTTCCAGTGGAGTGGTAGAGAGCAAAGCTTTTATTTCATAACTTGGACTTAGATACTGTTCAGTGTTAATTTAAGAGGGCTAAATTCAGCCTTGGCATTTAAGTCCTGACTTACTAAAAGGATGACCAAGAATCTTGCATGTAACAAATGCAGGAACTATCTACCTTTAATCTGCCCAGTAAATTTTTAGATGTACCTGGTGACATAGTAGGAAATGAACTAAATCAGGTGTTTGCTATTCATTGTGTTGACCAGCAGATTAACCTTTTCTTAACTGGACGGTAATGAATTTAATATGCTGAACAAGAGCATGTGTTGTCCATGATTTTGTCTATCCTTTATCCACCTTGACTCCCTTTTCTCCAAGGTTAATGGAGAGTTATTCTTTTGAATTAATTCCCTAACAGTAATTACTTTAGGCAGTTGAGTTTTGCCGGGGTTGTGGGAGACACTATTTGTGCACCTGCTTGGTTTCATGTTGTAAACCTCCCAGAACGGTTCTTTTCCAGTATGCAAAGCACTGAATAAGCAGGTCAAAAGTACAGTACATCTACCTTCACTAGTACATGGAGCAGGTACCTAGAAAAAAGGTGCTACAAGGCTGAGCGATAGTACTGCACCTCTGATGGAGACACCTGCTAAGACTCTGTTAGGCCAGCAGTTATCAATCAGCCGGGGTTATGTTGTCCTCCCTTGCTACTTGACACAGACTGACTCTTCATCTTGAGAAGTCACCCTGTTTTGGTTTTTCAAGGGCTTTATAGCTTTCCATGTTTGTATTTTTCTTTCCTGAGACATTTTGTTGCACTCCTACCTGAGATTTTTCACTTTTGTTACCTTGCAAAGGTTTCAGCTTGCATATTTTTTTCAGAATCCAACAACTACTTTTGCCATGCAGCCAAGTCAAGCTCTGCTAGTTCTGAGGTCCACAGGCGGAATTCAGGTCACAGAACATGGTCCAGGGTTTGCAATGTTTATATTGCTAAGAGCCCATAATTTCAAAACACTGAAGTCAAGTTGCTACAGCATTCATTTGTTAAAAGCCTCCCAAATTAAACTGCAAAGCATAACAATATTGGCTTCTATCGCATCTCATTAATGTGTGTTTTATTTCTATAAACAGTTTTATGTATTGGTGTTTACTTGCATGCGATTTCATTTCCCATTTCCGTGTTCCAGGGAGGAGAAGTTAGCACAATTGGAACTTAGTTCCAATTTACTCCAGAATGCAGCCCCTAAAACAGAAGAAATTAAGAAGAGCGCAACACAAATATTGTTGCTATGGCTTTTTAGGACTTGCATGATGTCTTTTACACAGAGGGAGAAGGATGACCTGCCATATTCTAGATGTCTTTCAGAGACTTTGTATAGGCACCCACAGGTGTCAGCTGATGTCTGTAGGAAGTGTGGAATGGGTATGTAATGAAGTTCCTGGGGATAAACAGCATGGATGGCCACAGTACTTGAGAATCTTATACTGGTGCAATTTTGTTTGTTGGGGTTCTTTGGCTATGTTTGTTTAGGACTGTGGAATATGATGCAGAGGTAAAAATGAACATGCAGCAGCACAAAACAAATCAGCATTGGCAGGCTGTATTTTGAGAACAATGGAGTTAACTTTGGGTGTGGAGATGAACCCAGTGGTTGGTTCAGGCACAGACAGGAGTGCAGATTTATTGAAGAGTGGTGCTGGAGAAGGGACTTGTAGACATCCATATCTGATAATGCTGGGTTTGCTTGGGTAAAGACTTTATCCAGCTTTGGTTTCAAGCCAGCGTGCTTGAACTATTTGAGTCAGCTCTGAATTTCTTGACTGTACTCCATAGCAGCAGCGAGTTCATCCCGTTATTAATTACTTAGTATAAATAATTGTAGTTACATATAATTTTAGAGATTATGATCAAAGTTGGCTCTGCTAAGGGTGACTAGATAAGCACAAATAACTATTATAAAAATAATGTTGTTGGGAAGAGATAAGAACAAGGAAGAAGGAGGAACAATTGCTTAAACAAAGCTTTTAATAGTTTTAACTGTAATTCATTTAAATGGAATGTGACCCTTACAGATTGTTCATAAACATTCATAGCATTAATTTCATGTTACATTCAATCATAGTTTCAAGACTGTAATTTAGAAGTGGAAGTTGGACAAAGCCTGCCACTTCCTGTCTTGATTAGCTACTAGTTAAAAGGTCAACATTTAATTTGAGTCAACAATTGGTAGTAAACTTTCACAGTGCTGTAATTGGTGTTCCATGGTGGTAACTATTTGAGAGACTTATGTTTGTAATAGGCAGAAATTAAGGCAAATATTCACTTTTTATCTTTTTCTCCCTAACTTGCATTTTTCTTCCTTCTCACAAATTAAAGAGGTATGCTAAGAGTTTTAGAAATGACCAAACAAAAATTCTCTAAACTTTTTGCTGACTGCTAGCTGCAATATTGAATTGAAATAAAGACCTCGATATATTTCATTTGGAAATTGCAGTTTTTTCAGCTTAATTGGAAAACTGGATGCAAGTAAGGTAATATTCTTCTTATCTTTGTCTAAATTATGACACAAATTTTTACCCTTTTTTAATAAATGTTGTGTAGGCTAGGTTGCATAATTTTTATTTCACAGTGTTTCCTTTTCTAATGGTGATTTCTAGCACTGCAAAAATTTTCAAGACTGGGCAGAACAAAGTCCTGGTCTGAATTCATGTTGATCCTGCTTTGAGCGGAATGCTGAGCAAGAAAGCTCCTAGCATCCCTTCCAAACTGAAGGACTTGGTGAATCTGAATTTGTTGCTAGCACTTCTAGTTCATTTCATGATAAAACATTGAGAACCTTGACATTTTTATTGACATCAATAAAAAAAGCTGGGGGGATTCAGACATGCAACTGCATTTTTCCTTTGATTTTGTTTTATGTATTTTAAATATCCTAATGACCATAGGGGCAAGCAGCACACTTATGCATTGAAAGTAGATGAGTATGTCCCAGTGAAGGATTAAGTAATTTCTACTCTAGAGACTGCGCAGAATCTTAACTGCAAATTGTACAAAATGGCACTGCTTTAATGCAAATACCCTGCAAGAAAATACCCCGGCAATAGCACTGTTGGCCATGATCTGTACTTGTTGTAAATAGGCTGTTCTTGGACCACAGAGTGGTAACTAAGATGAAAACAGTGAGTGACACAGACAGCCAGAAAGGGAGGCTTCACAAGGTCAAAAGGCAATGACTTTAACCTGAAAAAGGGTAGGTTTGGGTTTAGGGTAGGAAAAAAATCTTTACTGTAAGGGTGGTTGCCAGAAAAGATGTAGAAGTCCTTTGGAAGTGTCTGAGGCTGGGCTGGATGGGGGTCTGGGCAACCTGGTCGAGTGGAAGGTATTCCCATCATGGCAGAGAGTTTGGAACTAGATGATCTCTTACAACCCAAACCACTCTATAATTCTATTATTACTTTGTTTTCTAAGTTAGATATGCTTTCATATTTTGCTTTAGTTTAACAAAACAAGTTTTAGGGCTTTTTGTTTTAATGCCATGTGGACTTAGGAGTTTTGGAGTGATTGCGTCCAGTGTTGAAAATGTGACGTCTTCACAGGAACAAATTGCATGTATGATCTCTATGCTGACCGACTACATGAGCACTTTCCTCTGGATACTGAAGCTACCTCAGAGGACACAATCTGCTATTTTAAGCTTATTGCCTCTGTGGGCCACCTTGTCCGCTTTTCCATAGTATCCCTTCAGATTGAAGCAGATAACTGCATCACTGACTCACTCACCATTTATGACTCTCTGATGCCAATCAAAGATAAGGTACTCTACCGGTGAGTATAAATTTCTACTAAGAATTAATTGACAAATTTTGGGGTTTTTTCTAAAGACCTATCATCTTCATTTTTTGTTTAGTTTGGTTTTGTTAAAATTGCTCTGATTTTCATGTAATACTCACATAACACCTGACAAATTAAAATTTCTTGGATAAGTTGTATTGTTAATAAAAGGAAAAATTTTCTTCAATTTTTTCCTCTTTTTTTTTCAACTGGAATGCATCTTCACCTAGCAACAGAACTATGAAAAATTCACATGTTACTGGGCAAAACTTTCTGTTTCTTATCAGGAAACAGATGCTGACTGAAAGAGAATGTCAAAATTTCCTCCCTTAAACAAGCTATTCTCTATTAAGATTAGTGCTTTTCAGATAAAGACTGAAGTCCTAGAACTAAGTCTTGTGATTTTCACTTACTGGCACTCACTAGTTCAGTGCTTTTTTTATCTGCTCTATTTGTTTAGAGGGTTATAAAAATCTTGACTTGAAGCTGTGATGATTGAGGGATGTGGACTATCACTTTTTTTCTTTTTCTTCTCTCTCTTAAATGATCCATTATTTGTTTAGGGACTTTTTCTTTAAAATCCCTGATGATTATTCAATAGGACTCTGTAAGTCAAAAGGAAACAACACTATCTCCATGAAGTAGACCAAAGCTCAGAATTTTCGCCCCTGAAACCCTTTGCTCTGGCATTTCAGTCTGTGTATAAGCCTCAAAACCAGAGCATTGGCTTTTCAGTGCTTTTTGAGAGCTGTCCTGTACTAATCTGTATCTCCAATTGAATTGGACGGTGTTCACTTACATGTTACATGTTAGTATTTGTAGAAGACTGAAGATGTCTGCTAGGTAATGCATATGGAAAGGAATTTTTTTTTTTTAATGAGACTATTTGATTTGCTTAGGTTCCTAATTTCTGACTTGAATAATTTCTTGTCTTTCCCACTCTCCAACAAGAAGATAAAACTGTTGGTCTAATAAAATAAGATTTATCTTTCTTCTTTTTGTTAATTTTGCCTTCATTCATTTTTACTGGGAGTGAAGGCTGAAAGCCATTATCTCATAGAGTGAAACATTCCATATTATCTTTCATGCAATTTCCTTCATTTTTGTAAGAAGACTTTCTAGTATTGAGTTTCTAACTGCCCTTGTACATTTTTGCTCAAGAGCATGGAGATTTGACTGGACTTTGAAGTAGATAAGATCTGAACCAGTGGAAAATTTATGCATAGAGTGAGAGTAATGTGTGAAGCTTTTTGCTTTTTAAGTGATTGCTTATGTGTTTGGTCTTCTTTCTTCCCCCTCAGAGCCTGTGAACCAGCTGATTCATTGGTGTCACTTGTGTCCACAAATAATCTCATGCTGGTAATATTTAAGGCAGCACAAGTAAAGGAGCAAAAAGAATTCCATGGCTATTTTGAGGTCATTACACAAGAAAGTAGGTTTGTTCTGCGTTTGGATGTGTGTTAATTACATTGTTTCTTCTAAGATCCTGAAGTGTCTGTCATGTTTCTGACTATGGAAAAATGATTCCTGTATCTGAGTTTCTTCTTTTTACAGGCGCCTGTCTCCCCTTCATCTCCTCTGCTTTACTGCTATTGAGTAATGTAATCCGATCAGACTAGTTGTGAAGTATGAAGACAAGAGGCTGGAAGCAGCCCTGAATTCAGTTGGAGAGGACTGCAGTGTGCCAGTAGATGGGGCTGTTATTTCAGGTGTAGCAGTGGTCTCCCTTCTGCCTTGGGACTCCAGGATCATGTTAGAAGTGGCAGGATGGCAGCACTAATAACTCCTTTCAGAAAATAAAACTTCAGTTGCTTTTTCTGAATTTGCTCTCAGTCCCTGACTCCTCAGGAGCACAAAAGAGTCTGTAAAGTTTGTGCATCAAGCGCATGACTTTATTGCTTTAATCGTTAAGAAATGCTGAGATCATAATCACAAATAGTGCAAGGAATATTGTGCTAATGGCACAAGAAAAATCTCACATGACTCAGTGCAATGAAATTCAAGCTGCTCAAAAAGATGCTGCATACTTTTCATGTTGACAGTAATTAAGCATTAATATACCATCATAAAAACATGTGATAAATTCTCCATAATATCTAACTTCAAGTTCTGTTCTATGTGGGCTGTGGGTTGGTTGGTTGGTTTTCTTTAAGTTCAAGTCTAAGTTTTCTTTGTTTGTTTCTCTGCGTGTGTGAGTTCGTCTTTAATGAATTCTGTAAATCCATTGAGCTGTCTTCCAAGAAAGTTTTGGTTTCCAGGATGCTGATTCATTTAGTATGTTTCCATTTAACTTCTAACTGGCTGCTTTCTAAGACTAGAGGTCCCTGTGTAGTACTGCAGTGTGGATATATTGATATTCTTGTTTGCAAAACTGTCTTCAGTGAAATAACATAGATAAACTTTTCAGTGTGTTCTTCTGGTCCTGAAGAGACCAGCACTCATCCCTGGATCTTTACATCCTTTGTCTTCTGTGTGCATTATTGGGAAGGGTCTCTTTTTACAACTTGAATCTGGCTAAATACAATTCCTGACCTGCCCAGCTTTGAAGTGACAGACTTCTGATAAATTTGGGTGCTTTAGCTGACTGAATAGTTTTACTGAAAGTATATCAAGGTTTGCCAAATTTTGCCTCTTTTTTTTCCCTAGGGTGTGGAAAAGCAATAGTGACAAAAGAGGAAACTGGCTATGAAGGGAGAATCACAAGTCCATATTACCCAAGCTATTATCCTCCAAAATGCCTGTGTGCATGGAACTTCCAGGTAGCATGATTCTCTCTCTCTTAGGCACTGCTGTGTGTTTTGGCCACATAGGGCTTAAGTAATGCAGAAGTGATTGAATTGGCAGTAACCTGCATCCTCACAAATGTAGTAGTTTATAGAAATGGCATTGCTGAATAGCTGGCTGTGCTCAGATATTTTGTATCCGTTTTTTCTCTTTCTGTGCACTTGTTTCTAAGGAAGCAAACATAGTGCCAAAGCTGTCCTATTACAAAGGTGAAGAGTTAAGATAAGTTTTGATGTTAAACCTGCAGAATTACTTCATGGCAGGCAATGTAAGACTTGACTGTTTTTAACTCCTCTCTTCCCACCTCCAGAAATCTGAATGAAAAATATGTAAAAAAACCTAACCTAGTTATTACTGCCACTTCTCTGGTATCTTTTCATATGCCTAATACATTTAATTTGTCTTTAGAATGGTCTGTCAAATCAGCACAATGCTGTGCTGTTTGTTTAATTTGGTATCTTTTTTCTGCATCTTTTCATGTACTCTCCTGAAAGCAAATTGCTGAAAGTTGATTTAAAGTACTTCTCTTTTCTCTGACATGAGTGTTTTCTTATTAGTGTTAAAATAAGGTCTCCAACTTAGGCTTTGCCCTTCAGTGTTTTCCTCTCTATGGAATGTAGCAATGGATGTGACAAGATCCACTTTTTACCCATCTTTCTGCTTATGGTACTCATGACTTGTGACTGACCACGATGAATAACAACAATATAAATTAAGTCCAGCTAGCCATAACCTACAGCTTCTTCCTCTTCTAGAATAATAAGGTGATTTTTGGGGAGTTAAATTTACGGTCTTCAGTTCATCCTGGACTTCTGATAGAAAGGTTTATTGCTCAAAACAGTTTCATTTTCACTGTTGTATTTTTGTGCAATATTGAAACTTTGCTCATTTCCCAAGTTATATTTTCTGCAAGAGAGAGGGAGAAAAATTTCCATTTCTGTTTTTTTTTTTGCCCTGAATCAGCCCTTGTTTTTAAATGAACACTGCCTTGCTGTGCAAAAAGTTCCATTCCTTTTACAAAAGGAATTTCCAATTAAGTATGAAGTCGTGTGATTTTGCTGGGTTTAGAAATGTTTTGTAAAATACTAAAGAATGCATGGCTGAGCAGGTGCTAGCAGAAGACTATAATAATGCGGTAGAAGTAACTGCTAGCATTACAGATGTGACACAAGTATTCCAGGCAGTATCTTAACTCTAAAAATCCTCTGGGCTTTGTGTCCCTACACAAGTACGTTTGATTGTGTCTGAGTGCTTTGATCTTGATACTAAAGTAGCTTTCTATGGCCAGTGGCTCTCTAAAGATGAGAAGACTATTGGCAAGAGGGAGAGAAAGCCTGCAGCTGTGGTGGGCCTGTGCCAGCCCTTGACTCAGGACTGAATAGCTGACAAGCGTGTAAAGTGCTGGCTGTTGAGCTGGTGAAGCCAGCACAGCTCCCAGGGTGTGGCAATGCCAAGCTCCGCAATTCCTGAAATACATTTATAGACTTTTGTGTCTATGCCCACAAAAAGAAAAAGAAGACTGCTTGCACTGTCTTTCTTGCTCACAACAGACTCCACAGAAGAACCTTGGTATAGCTCTGAAGTTCCATAACTATACCATTAGTGAGAAGAATATTAAAGGCTGTGAACGAGGATGGTGGAAAATTAATGAACGCATGTAAGTACTCTGCATAGATTATTAATGTAATGGTACCAAGATAAACCATCCCATTGCTACTGCAGCTCATTCAGAAAGCTTCCACAAGGACAGAAGTAATTCACTGGGGTGTCCTACCATTCTTTCATTTTAGCTGATGATGTAATAATCCTTACAAAATATGTATATATATGTATAGATGTGTGTGTATGTGTATATATATGTACATGTATGTATATATGTGTATATATATATGAATACATATATGTGTGTGTGTATATATATTCTACTGAAAAGTACCAGAAAAATGAAGACAAGAGTCTTTGGTACTCTCTGGAGAGAGACAAATAGAAAGAGTTGGATGTCCTGTGAACTCTAAAATAAATCTGTGTTTTCTGGGGCCATTAAACAAGGTCTGTTTAAAGCCCTTTTACGTGTAACTTAATTCTATGATTGCTCAAGAGGACAGCGAATCTTTCTTGGTGAAAGCCATTGCAATGAGATGATTTGGAATAGAACTATAACTGCTTCCTCATTCCAGTCACTGGCTCTTGAAAGAGAAACTGCACAAAGTGGCTTTCAAGGAACCACTGTGTTTCTGAAGTATTTTTTATTAAAATATTGCTGCTGTTTTTTAATTAAGATATTGCTGCTTTCCCAGCATATTTTCCATCCATGCCTTCCTCAGTTTTGAAGTTATTTTTGGAATACTGGATGATGAGGCAAGGCTAGATTTAAAACATCCTATTTTTTTTTTCTTAGACTTTGTTCAAATGGAAACCTGAGTAATATTAGTCTTGAAACTTGACTTTCTGAACTCACTACTGGAACTAAGTAACTTAGGCCCTTAAAGAGTACAATGGAAAGAATTACAGAGAGAAGAAAAAGCTTCATCTGTTCTTCAATAGCATGTTGTATTTATAGAGTGAAAATTCAGTTTGAATCTCCTACAACGGTGCCTTGATGGAATTGGTTACTGGACTAGATAAGTGCATAAAAACACCCATCAAAACACACCACACGTAGTGTATTTGTATGGTTGCCTTTTTGGTGGTCTTTTCACAAAAGAAGCTGAAAGATTTGTGATATTTGGAATGGCTGAGATAAAAAACAAAGGCAAAATCTGGAGGAAAAAATTATAGGATCATACTGAGGAATTCTCTGACAGAGAATCCTGAAAGAATATGAGCAGCTTTTTGACAAACTTACCAATTATGCGTTCCTCAGAATCCAATGCCGTGGTGTGATTCTCAGAAGTGCACTCAGGGTTACTTCTGAACTACTGCACAGGAACACATGCTCCTGCTTTCTGCTGCAAGTTGCTGGCTATAGTAGTAGACCCAGGCAAGCCTTCCTTTGAGTGTGTTTTTCATTGAAAATAAGGCTTTTGAACTTCTGATTTTCTGTCCTATATTTACTTTTGAAGGAGAAAAAAATATTATTTCAAGCATGAAACATGGTGATGCTTTATTTTGTTTTCCAAATTTTAATTGTTAATGAAAGGGGGGGGGGGAGGCAGGGTGCAGGCAGGGGACCACAATTTTTCAGCCTCTTGCAGTTGCAGCCTATGGGATGTTTATTCTCTTATCTTAGGTAAAAATGGTTAAGAACCTTTGGGATACTGATATTAGTAAACACTGTGACCAAGCAGGTGGTGCAGATGAGGTTCCATCAGACCTCTAGGGACAGCTTTCTCTAACCAGAGACACTGAACACAACCATGTAGTTCTTACTTGTCTTTCTTCCAGTGGACATACAATGCTTCACTGTCTTGTCAAAGAAGTTACAGCTGATGAACTTCTTACTTGAAATTCTCAGAGGCAGGAACACCAGTGAATTCCTTATGAACAGACTACTACAGGTTTATGTGAACACAGAAGTGCTTTATTTGTGTTAAAACTGTTAGTGCAATATCCCCTTGTTTTTGCTACAGCATGCATGTATCTGCTCATCCCCTGAAAAACTATCCCAGTCACTTCTGCAACATATGGGACAGGATTCCCTTAATCAGTTTCTCTCTGGAGCAATGGCACAGAGTTACAGATGGTTCTTTGTAACTTCCATTTGCCCTGGACCTGAATATATGACCAGTAAAACACCAGCAAAAGGCTCCTGAGGGCCTGTAGCTTTGTTTTACCAATCCCACGAGCATATGGCCTTTCTTACTGTGTAATGATGTACCTGTTCCAGCTTTTCCACTGATGGGCAGTAATTTCCTGTGCTTTTGGTGAGATTAATTTGTTTTATTTGTCTAAGAAGAGGTCAATGCAGACTTCAACCTTTGTTTGTTTGTGGCTTTTTGTTTCTTTGGGGTTTTTTTTATGTTGCTAGGTTTTGTTGGAAGGAAGACTGTGTAAGCCATTGAGAGAAGAAGAAATGTAGAAAATGTCTGTGAGCTAGTTGAAGGGAATCAGATTGGTAAACAGCATTTTGCTGTGCACTTTGACAGGCTGTTTTAGGTTGGGAGCATTGGTGATGAACACTAAAATTGGTGACAATTAGACTTCCTGTCATAGAAAGTCTGCACTCAACAGTGAGAGATTTGATGGGTCGGTGTACTGGTTTGAAAGCAAACCAGCAGGAGGAATTAACAAAATATTCTGCAAGAGCTTCCAAGTCAGACCTACAATTTAATAGGAAAATTGGAATAAAGGCAATAGTACAGAAACACTGGCTTAAACAGAGAAAGTCATAATATGAGCTGTTGGTCAGGGTGGTAGTAGCAGTCTGATTAAATGGCGACTGCAGTCCCGTTGGAGGATGGATACAGTCTTGTTGAGGCAGTGATCCTGTGAAAAGTGAAAGCAGTGATCCTGTGAAAGTCTTTGGAGATCCAGCAGTGGCTGTCAAGGGCTCTTGTCCTCTGGGTATCAAGTGATGGCATTGTGGTGTCCCAAGCCCCAAATTATGTACAGGCAGGACTGTTTGGTACATCCCTCAGGGCAGGGAATTCCACAATGGGATAATGTAATTCTGGGAGTCATTCTGGGGAGCCCTTGATGGTCCATGAGCAGAGTTGGCCCCCTTAGATTGGCGACTGCTTGCCCGGAGGGATTTATCAGGGCTGAGTCAAGGAGAAGGTAAAGAAACACTGCTCCTCTCATTTTAACAGCTCATGTAGATGGTAGTAGAAATACCTACCTTTGGTTACACCTTACACTGTAACCCAAGACAGTGGTTTGTGGGTTTTTTGGAGGTTTTTGTGTGGGGTTGTTTGTTTGTTTGTTTGGGGTTTTTTTGTTTTGTTGCAGGGTTTTTGTTTGTTTTTGGGTTTTTTGTGGTTGTTTTGGGGGGGTTTTTTTGGGTGGCTTTTTTTTTTTGGTTTCTGTTGTTGTTTGGTGGTGTTGGTTTTTTTGGTGGGTTTGTTTTTGGATTTTGTTTTGGTTTTTTTGGGGTTTTGAGGATTTGTTTGCTTGCTTCTTTTTTTGGGGCTTCTTGTACAATTAATTTTCCCATAGTAAGAAGCTGTAAAATGAACTTGAATTTTTGCATCTGCTTTCAGGATGTGAAAGAGAATTCTTTTTTTTTTTTTTTAATTGTTTTCTTCCTTTATTTTTTATATTGCTGGAACAGAATATCCTAGATCTGTTGACAAGATGTTTGATTTTAGTAGAGTAAAATAGGGTGTACATGAAAACATACGAATGTGTCCATTCCCTTTGGCAGACCTCACTGGGATGGTCAGGACACTGAGGCAACATCTGTTCACGTGGAAATCACTGACCAGTTTTTCTCCATTCAGTGACATGAAGAGTAGTCCTGGTACAATGCTTGATGTGGAAAAATACACAAGGGGAATATTTACTTCTGGCTAATAGTCCACTGTTCCATTTAGCAATACAACAATGCATTTTTTTTCTTTTGTTCTTTGTGTTCATTTTGTTGTCAGTGAGTGACCTTGTACTGCTGTCAAATAAGTGTGTGTGCCAAGTGTGCTAAAAATCGATACAGCTGTGCTGTGTTGAATCAAGAGCTGCTGTGCTCTTAAATCTACTTAAGATTCATATGTACTTTGATTTTGCCAGGAATATTAAAGCCAGATGTTTTTCTTTTAAGTGTTGCATTTTTGAGGTATTTTTGTTGAGTAGAGGAAGGAGTCTTTATTTTTACTTCTAGAAAAACCTGTAGTGTTGATGTTCATTGATTTACTACCTTTAAAACTTCCTCAATTTTTTAAATAATGATCCAACAACCTTTCCCTTTCCCTGTCAAAGAGGCTTTGTTTGGTTGTGGGTTTTTTGTTTTTTGTTTTTGTTTTTTTTTTTTGCTTTGGGGTTTGTTTTTTCTTCTTTGTTTTTTTTTTTAATCTAGGTTTTTTGTTGCCCACCCCCAATCCTCTGGCAGAGTTTGGCATATTTGATGAAAGGAACATTAGAAATTCATTAACAGTGGATGGATTAAATGTTTGCTGGCATCAGAAAGCATTTAGGTTTCTCTGAATCAAGTGACACCTAGGCAGAAGTCCAAGGAACCTCTTTGCTAAAACAGAAATTTAAAGTAGGTGTGCACCCAAGGCATTTTTTTTTTAAGGACTATTTATTTGAAGTTGTGACATTCAGAAGTAAATTTCCACAATGTTAATGGTGGATGAAGGCTGGGTAACTACTGAGAAATATTTTTGATTTTGGTTCTTAATTAAAGTATGGCTGCTGACTGTATTTCTGAATTTCAGTGGTGTTGACATTTAAATTGTATGTAAGGCAGTTTTCCTGTGAAGGCTGCTCTAGAACTTGCCTGGACACTTTCAGGTACTGTGGTTACTATGTCGATCACCAAACAGTGTTCCACATTACAAGTCCTGCTGTCAGCGTGGAGCTGCAGTGCAGTTCGAAGGTCTCTGAGAAGCCCTTGCTGGTGGAATATGGCAGCTATAACATCGGCCAACGTAAGATGCATTTTATATCTTTCAACCTTTCTTGGCATTTCAGATCTGTGAAGTAGCATTTTTTGGGTCCATAGGACTTAATTAAGTTTATGCAGGAAATTAGCTGTTGGGTTTCAGTTCATTTTCTTTTCTAATCTCTCTAAGTCAGATGACTATCAAACAAAGAACCTTTTCTAGGCTGTGCATCTAAGGTTTGTGGGCATGTGCAGCATGCTCTGTTTTCCTGCATGCACACTGTTCTCTTCCCCACAGTCCTCAAAGCTTCCTGTGTGACCGTGGTGCAGTCAGTTGAAGTCTGCTGTTCCTGTTTGTTTTAACCCCCAAGATTTTGTTTGTAGTGTTCCTATTGCTATAAGGCTTACAGGTAATGAAAAGAGTACCAAATAACCACCTGCTTATTTCAGTGTTTCCATGTATTTATATACAGTGTTTGCAAATCTGAAATCTGAGCTGAAAAAACAGCTCAAAAAATTGAGAAACTCTGAGACACTGAGTTTCTTCCATTCCTGAAACATACAAATTTACTGGTACTTTTTCACCTGTGTTTGTCTTACGTATTCTTTTTAAGGTGGTAGAGAAGCAGTGTTTTCTAGACATAGTTATTGTCACATTAGAGGAACTTTATTTAGTGTATATGTGTAGAGTATGTAAAAAGAGGAGAAATTTGATTATTTTAGTTTATAAGGCAGAATTATGCAGTTCATACACCACCTCAATGCAGGTTATTTACCAAAGTTGCAAAGTGCTGCAAACTTTGGTTATTGGAAGTGAGACTGTCCTTTAAAACAAAGATGGCCTTCTAAGCAGTCTTGTGTTGCACCATAAAACACTGATTTATTTGTTCCAGCCCTAGACAGCCTGTGGTACATATTCCAGGAACAGCTGAATTAGAACTTTAGAGACATTTTTTCCCTCTACTTTAAATCCCAGTTTTCAACATTTGAATTCAATTTACGTGCTGGCAATGTATACAGACTATTAAATTTAATCAATTTTATCATTCCTTGGAGCAGCTTAGCGACTGTAAATCAAAACAAGCTGGAAATATTTGTGAAAAAGAAATTTTGAGGTTTGGTTGCTTGGTTTTTTTGTTGTTTTGTTTTTGTCTTTTTTTTTTTTTTTCCTTTTTAACCTCCAGCATGTCCACCTGGGCATTTCAAGTGTTCTACTGGCTTATGCATCCAGCAGATGCAGCGCTGCGATGGCATAAACAACTGCTTCGATGAAAGTGATGAACTCTCTTGTGGTTTGTATTCACTTATTAGAGATCTTGACTGGAAAAAAAAAAAGTGAATGTATTCTCTAATCTTAGAAGGCAGCTGAAGCAAGGTGAAATTTTTTAATGGGAATAACAAAAGATGTTTTCAGCTTGCTTTGTATGTTGGGTACAGACTATCTGTCAGTCTCTTGAATGCTTAATTCATAGTTAATTGGAAAGGGACAAAACTGAGAATAAAGAAGATATGGCACTGGAGAGCAGGAGGAAGAAATTAGATGTGCATTAATAGCTGTAGTAGGATATATTTTCATATGTGATAAAAGCTGGCAATTATTAATGAAGTTCTGTGCCATTTTGATATGAGTTATTTTATTTTTGTGGGGGAACAACAAAGAGGGGTTCATAGAGTAGATGAGAGTGATACTAAGCATCACCACCTGGGGCACTCACTGAACTCCTCTGTGTTCTATTTTCTCCATGTATAAAATGGCACCAATGCCCATCCTTGTATTGGAATGTATTTCCTTGTATTGCCCATCCTTGAAGGAATGAATTTGGTATCCAGACATAGTCAGAAGGGAATCTGTTAGCACTTACAGGAATGCTTCTGTACCTGATTTGGCTTATATTTTTTAAGTTGTCCCTGAGTGGAACTGTAACTCCAGCTTTGCAATACAGGACAACTTGCTTGCCTGCAATGGAGTAAGTGATTGTGAGAATGGAAATGATGAGCAGAACTGCACCCACAGTAAGGCTGCTCTCCTGAATAACTTTTTTTCTCTCTTTTGTCATCTGTCTATTCCTGACTTGAATTCTGGATGCTGCATTTAAAAGGTTAAGAGGCCCTGTCAAATCTCAGTTGGGCTATATAATTCCATTTATTTCTTCTGATACACTTAGAAACAAGCTGTTACAGATTTTAAACTATTTCTTTTTAATAAACTCATGAACATCTGTTTCTGCAAAATACTGACAGAAGAATTAAGTACTTCAGGTGCATGATGGGGATCTAGGGATTTAAAATCGAATCTGAGATTTATCTCCTTACAGCATAATTTGTGCAAATTAATTTCTGGATCCATTTTACCATCTGTAAAATAACTATTAAAATGATGGCTATCATTTCTACTAAATGACGATTTCTCTGTCATAGTTTTTAGGGTTATAAGGTTAGCAGAAGCTGTACATTTGGCATTAGGCAAATGAAAGTTTTGAATCAGAACCTTCTTGAACTTTTTAGAGTAAATGGATGCTGTGACATATGAAAGGGACTTATGAAAGGGAGCACAAGTGAAAAGTGCTGCAAGTAAATTTTTAAAAGATAACTTTTTGACCCCTTCCACAAGACAGTCTGTTTAAATGATTACAGGATACTTCTGTGCATTGACAAGAGAAATTGGATTGGGTTTGAGTGCATTTATTGCAAGGCACAGGGAAACAAGAAAATGCTGAATTTTGGGGGTTGCTGTTTTACTGGATACAGTTAATAAGGCTGCTTTCACTGCAATCTTTCATTTCACATTTAATACTGAAATACAAAGGAGAGCTCCAGAGTACTAGACATTTTCTCTTGCTATCCTTACACTCTACATCTAATTTTCACTATTATATCTGTATGTGTTAGTGCTGTGGGAAAGGAAGGGAATAAATCTTTGTTTGGATTTGGCCAAGTAAATGCACACCCAAGTACAGATGCAGTTCTATTTGTATAGTTTATTCTGTTTAGAGGTTAAGCCATCCTCACCAAAGTGCTTTTTTTGTCATATTACTTCCTACCTATTAATATATGTACATCTTCTGTCTGTGCAGCCATGTCTTTGTGTGAGCCAATGGTTGTTTTGGGTTTTTTTCCTCACAACTATTTCAGGTATTCCCTGCACCAGCCACACATTCAAGTGCAGGAATAACATTTGCATTAGGAAACAATATGCAAGGTGTGATGGGACTGTGGACTGTGTTGATGGAAGTGATGAAAGCAGCTGCAGTAAGTTCCTTTCAAATATTAATCTTTTTGAACTTTTTACACAATAAAGACCTTTATTTCTTCCTTCTTTTGGAGTGGGTGCAAGTTGGGCTGCAGGTACTGAATTTTTATTGCATTCTCTCTGCGATGGTTGGGTAATGATCACCTATCAGTTTACCTCAGACCTGGTTTCAGAACTTGCCAATTTCCTGTGGGAGGGTGGGTTTACAGTTATGGGGAACCTTAGAAAGCTGTACTGCTTATTTCAGCTGTGCTGAGGATTAGGGCAACAGGGTTAATTACAGAGTAAACTTGGTTAGCTGGGGAGGCAGCAACTTTTGTTGTCTGCAGCAATGCCAAGCACTTCATTGAAGTTGAACTGTATTTGGACTTCCGGAGTGATACAGCTGCAATGAGAAAAAACCACAAACTTTTCACTTCTCTGACTCTTCCAGATGGTGAAGACCCCAATACATCATAGCATCAAGTCAGGTTCTACTCTTAAATCTTCCTAAAGTAACCTCTGTACAACCTTTTAAGTTTGTTTTGATGTAAAGCAAACAGATTGTCACTGCAATAGCAATAAAAGTGGGGTTAGGATTACTTGCTTAAACTGAATGGTCTCAAGTATATTACATAACATGGATGTATTGGAACGAGTCCAAAGGAGGTTTGTCAAGATATTCGTGGGCTGGAGCACCTCTCCTATGAAGACAGACTGAGACAGCTGGGGTTTTTTAACCTGGAGAGGAGACAGCTTTAGGAAGAAGGCTCTTAGCATCTCCCAGTACCTAAAGGGGCCTACAGGAGAACTGGAGAGGGACTTTTCACAAGGACATGTAATGATAGAACAAGGAGGAATGGCTTTATAATAAAAATGGGTAGATTTAAATTAGATATAAGGAAGAAATTCTCCACTGTGAGGGTGGTGAGGCCCTGGCAGAAGTTGCCCAGAGAAGCCTCATCCCCAAAATTGTTCAAGGCCAGGCTGGATAGAACCCTGAGCAATCTGGTTTAGTGGGAAGGTGTCCCTGCCCATGGTAGGGGAGGTTGCAACTAGATGATCTTTAAACTCCCTTTCCAAACCAAACCATTATAGGATTTTGCCTGGCCCTCATCTGTGTCTGGCATGCTGCCTGTATGACAAATCTGTCAGCACTTACCTTGGATCCAGTAGGTTGCCTTAAGAGCATAGCCATATGCCTATTTTTATTTGGAAACATTATAGCTGCATTCAACTTTCTGGATGTGTTCAGGAAAGGATCCAGAAATGTTAACACCTGTGTGTGGGACTGTGGGACTAAAACTCGTGAGCAGATGTGCAAGCACCAGGGATGGACAGGAGGCTCTACAGAAGGGTCTTTCTTCCTTGCTTTTCAAATTAAGAGTTCAGATTTTTGTGCTGATGAGACGTGATTCCTTCACCTGTTAGTAATATACATTGTCAATCAGTCATTTCCAACCAAAATAATGATTGTACCACCTTGTTTGTCAAATAAATGTTCAATCTCCACATACATTTTTCTTGTATCATTCCAACTGTTTTGGCAAGAAGTGTTTTGATGATATTGAACTTCTTTCTGGTTGCTCTCTTTTCAGGTCAGGGTTGGCAGTATTAAAAAGAGATGAGGTTTTGCCTATTTGTATATATTCATTGTGAAGCTTATTAAATCAATGGATCCTTTGACACTTCTGACACAAGAAATATTTGGGGTTAATTTCAGTAACAGAGCTAGAAAAGGGACTTAGTAAAATTTCCAGACTGGTGCCTTTTTATGGAGTCATCTCTGATTTAATTGATAGAGTAGCCAAAGAGAGAAGTTTTATTATTATAATAGGGGAATTAAATAGATTTTAAAATATTTCAAAGTGCAATATTCTTTCATGCCATGTGTGGGAAGCCCCCTCATTAAAGAAAAGTAGGGGAGATAGGGATTATAACCTGATATGTCTCTTGCAGGCTGCGGCAGTAGCAAGATCAGCAACCTCATCTCTCGGATTGTGGGTGGCTCAAACACTGAGGAGGGTGAATGGCCCTGGCAGGTCAGCCTTCATTTTGTGGGAGCTGCTTACTGTGGAGCATCAGTGATATCGAAAGAATGGCTTGTGTCTGCAGCCCACTGCTTTCAAGGGAGCAAGTAAGCAGTCTTCCCTCTATGTCTGTTCCAAATATGGCCAGAAGCCACAAGTGGCTTTAGGTTCCAGAGTTTGAATTGCGTGGAGGTGCTGTACTCTGCTTTTCCCAGCCCTGCTGTTAGTGGATGCTTTGAGGTACTTTTTTAAGACACAACTTCTTTGTTTGCTCCCGCCCAGGCTGGCTGACCCCAGAGCATGGCGTGCCCACCTGGGCATGCAGATGCAGGGCCATGCTAAGTTTGTGTCCGCGGTGCGGCGCATCGTCGTGCACGAGTATTACAACAGCAGGAACTACGACTACGACATCGCGCTGCTGCAGCTGAGCACGCCCTGGCCGGACACCGTGGGCCACCTCATACAGCCCATCTGCCTGCCTCCCTCTTCCCACAAAGCCCGCAGCGGGGACAAGTGCTGGATAACAGGTTGGGGCCAAAAGCAGGAAGCAGGTGAGTTTTGTCCCTTCCATTGAGCCGATTTTGTTCCCAGGAGCCTTCACAGCTGGGGCAGTGTGCACATTCCTTCGTACACTCAGGAAATTTCCTTCTGGTCCCATGGATCTGAATGTCTTCCATATTGTGTTGTTAGTGTAGGAAGCTACACTTACACCAAAATATCACAGGCTTGTCTTTCTCCTCTGTTCTCCTTGGAGGTGTGGGACATATGGTGTGGTTTCTCTCTTTGGGCTGCTGGTTAATCATATGTAAAATTAAGAAGCTGGTTATTTGAGAGATAAATGTAATGCCACAAAAAAAAAAAAAAAAAAAAAAAAAAAAAAAAAAAAAGGGACAGTGTATTTTTTTCCTGTTTCCCACTATTCCCTTTGTCAACTTCTGTGATACAAGTGCCAAATCAATCTTTTAATTTCAAAGTATACTTTATTACATACTAGCTTTATCAAATCCTAAAATAAAGCTTCATTAGGTAAACCAGTGCTTGCATATTTGAATATGTCAGTGAGGGCTTTTTGGCTATAACCAGATTTTGAAAGGATCACCTGGTGATGAGATTGGGTCTGCTGTATGGAAAGGAGGGGAAACTTTAGGTTAATTCTGTTATTATTAAAGTATATATCTTACAAAAAAGAGGCGTTTCACCAAATCTTTCAGACAGAAAGAAGCAAATGTGGAAATTGTTTCTTTATGCTGTGAGAATTTGCATTCTGAAACTGACTTAAAATCTTAATCTTGAATTTGGCTCCTTCAGATACACTGACCTCACTGCAAATCTATCATATGACAATCTAAATATCTTTGTAAAATTCTGTTTCATTTTTGAAATAAAATGAGAGCAAATGAAGAAGTCTTGAGACATTTTGAAAAAAAAAAAAAAAACAAAGAAAAAGAAAAAGCTTTCTGGCCAATCCTAGTGATTATGCCATTGTATTTGGTGTGTCTGAAGAACCCAGATCACATTAAACAATTGTCTGATAGTTTGAAGAGGCTTTCTGCTCTGTTGCAGTTAGTCGTTTGGAATCTGGAATAACTCAATGGTCAAAAGTATCTGTGGATATTTTCTGAAGACTTCTTCTTTTATATTTCAATAGATGAGTAAAATGCTAAGCTCTGTTGAATCACTCTGCTCTGAATTTGTTTTCCAGATGATGAAGGTTCAGCAGTTCTTCAGAAAGCAGAGGTAGAAATTATTGACCAGACATTATGTCATTCCACATACGGGATTATCACAGCTAGGATGTTTTGTGCTGGGCTATTGACTGGGAAAAGAGACGGGTGTAAAGTATGTACCTCAGCAATCTTTGCAAAGAGCTTATCTGGTCTTTCATTGCTTCATGAGGAGGTGTAAAGTTGACTGGCAGACCACTTTGTGGTCAATATGATTCAGTTCTGAGAAAGAACAATATAAGAATTGTCTGTCAGCAAACCTCTTCCATGGGTGATTTCAGAGTTCTGCTGCTTTATGTGCATGAGTAACATTCACTGAATTTCAGTTGCAGATCAAGAGCCAATCAAATTGCAAGTCCCAATAACAAATTGAAATCAGGCAATTTTCAGCATAATAGGGTCTCAGCTGAAGAACAAAACTGAGAAAGTAGCTTGTGTCTTTTCAGGATCCCTCCCCTCCAATTTGGAACTACAAAACTGTATACTGAGATGCAGACAGTTAGGCCTAAATTTGCAAATGTAAGATATTTCTGATCTGGAAAACTGAAAGATGATAAATGTGAAGTACTGAATTTACTTCTAGTGAAAAGTAGTAACACCCTATAGATACGCTGTATATATCTGTAAGACACTTAATATTACAGATCTTATATGCCATATTGTATTATACTGAACTTATATAAGCCATACCTATTTATGCTAAAACAGTAGTACATTTACTGCTGAAATAATAATAAAACCAGTTTTTTTATTATGGAGATCTGGAATCTTCAAGATGTTCTAGCTTTCACTGATCTACATAAAAGTGATGAGCTTACAATGGCTGAGGGAGTATAATGCTCCAGCTGTTTTGTAGAGGTTAGTGAGGCCATTGATATTAAGTATTGTTTTCAATAACTTGAGAATTTGTTTATGGCTGCTCAAGATATAGCCAGGGCTATATCATTTTGGCTGCATTTTTGTAGAGGCAAATGATCTGTGTCTGTCTGGCAGTTGTTAGAGCTAATCAAATTGTGGTATTCCTGTTTTGTGAAAAGTGCTGGTGTTCTACTTTTGTTCTCGGAATGAAGGAAAAAACTTGCAAATTTTACTCTCTAAATGTGAAGTCTTATTTGTCATGAAAGGAAAAAAAAGTCTTCTAAATTCTTAATCTTTTTTGAGGCAATTCAGTGTAATCCTACTTTGAGGAGTAGGTGGCACCTTAGCACCTTGGAAGTGTTCCCTTCCAACCTGCATATCACAACAACCTATACAGTGAAGGCAAAATAATTTTCTAGCTCTAAGAAAATATTTGTCTAGAAAGAAGGCACTTCTCTTGCAAAACGTCTGAATTTTTCCAAATGCACCTTTTGCTTTTAGAAGTTGTTTCTTGCACGCAATATTTTGGTAAAATTTACTTTGCCACTGGGTGTCTTTTTCAGACATGCTTTGTGTACAGCAGAGCCTTACAGGGAAGTATCAGCTTGGTCCAAGGAAATTTGCCCAAATGGTGGCAAAAATGGTTTTATACCTGATGCTCTGCCAATGTATTTCTAAAAGAACACCCTGAAAAGGAAGACTCCTAGTTGCTTTGTCCTGTATTACAGCATTATGAGATCCTGTAATAAATTTTGAAGTCTAGAGCAGACTTCATTTTAACTGCTCTAATTACAAAGACATTATGGGCCCCTAAACATTATATGCTGACTGGTATCTACCAGAGTGTGGCATTCATATTCTCTGGACAGAGAGACATAATTCTCTCTCAGGTTTTTTCCTGGAGAAGCAGAGAAAAGAATGATCAAAACAATTCCTATCTTATTTGCTGTTCCTGTGTTTGTGCACAAGTGGAATGTATTCTGGAGATTGTTTTCCCGAGGTGACCAGTTGGATCCATGTGTGTGGGTCAGGACTCTCAGGCAGAGAGTCACGAGTTTTCAGGAGTAACAGTTAGTAGAAGTTGGTAGCAAGTATGATATAGTATAATATGTATCTCTTTAATATAGTACAGTATACTAAAGTAATTAATTAGCCTTCTGATATCATGGAGTCAGGTGCACAGCATTCTTCCCCTGTCGAGGGGTCGCCTGCTTTTACAATACCAGTGGACAATCCTTAAGCCCTTTTCCTTCTTAAAAAAAAATCAAGAAAAACCCCAACACAAAACAATTAAGGGATTCCATCTGTTCCCATTTATCTTTAATTTGAAATAAGTCATACAATTATTAAATACTTTATTGTATTTACCTTATTTTATTTAAAAATAATTTTTAAAGCTTACTATTTTTTGAGTTTTAGTGTGTAACCTATGAAAGGACATGCATGTTAAGTAGCAGATTTGGGGTTTAGCTGTAAGTGTAAGGTTAGGGAAAAAAAGTGAATGTCAAATGTAGTCCATGCAAAGTAATATCTTTATTAGTGTCTTTAAAGCGTTAGAATTACCTTCTGTCTTGTGAAAGAGCAAACTTTGGTAAAACTGGGCAATGCCATCTACTTGAAAAAACCCTATCAATTGTTTGAACTATGTGGATATGAAAATATAATCACTGGAATTATGCAAAATATCTCCTGTGTATTTTCCCCCAGTTTTCATAATTCATCTTGTAAACACATATAACTCAATACATTATTTTTAGGGTGATTCTGGTGGACCACTGTCATGTCAAAGCAATGGAGGTGGAAAATGGTTTTTGACTGGCATTGTGAGCTGGGGTTATGGATGTGGAAGACCAAATTTCCCAGGTGTCTACACAAGAGTGTCAAATTTTGCACCATGGATACACAAATATGTGCCTTCAGTCTTGTAACTTGAAAACTATTTTCTTGGAATAAAACATGTCCTGCATATCTTCATTAAAACTGTATTTGGAGGAATTGTTCACTGGTGGAATTTCTTTGCATGTCTATTGCTGATTCTGGAACTCACATATGAGGGTAATAAATACCAGAGTTTTGAGCTTTGGTGAAAAAGGAGGATGCTGTTCTTTGTGGTGGTTGTTCCATGCAGATGTCTGGAGACATGGGGGGAGGTGCAACAATAAACTTCATTTTCAAGGCACTGACTAAGTGCAGGTGCACTCACCTGTCAGGAAGCTGAAGATACAATTGATTGTGTAAACAGAGAGCTTGAGGCTTACTCATCATTTCTTCTGAGATGTGTGCAGCCAATACAGAAAACTGTTTGCACTCTGGCAAATACCTCTTCCACCAAGGCAGCTGACAGGGAGAAAGGGAGAGGAGACACTGTAAAAAAGTGAACTCAATCCTTTCAAATCCATAGGGCCCTAATTTTTGAAGATCAAAAATTCTGCTGCTATAAGTGATTTATTGCATGCTTATTCCTTCTCCTGCTTTCATTTTAATTGACTGCATGATTTGGAGCTACTAACTTTTATTTCCTGCTTTCATTTCTTTATTTTCAAGTTCATCCACCTAAGAATTTGAATTCTCGAGCTTCAGGCAACCTTATCAAGACGAATAAACATGGTGATGTGTGTTATTGCAATGATCTTGTCCTTGATGTAATAAACCCAGTGTTTCTAAAAGGTCCTGATATAATATTTATGCAAAAGTGGGTTTGTTTCCTCTAGGCCTTTTTCTGGGGTTTTTTTTGGTCTTTTCCATGAAGGAAGGAGCAAAGTGTCAGTCAGCAGGTTCTGTATGTGTAGCAGAGACAGGCTGTTGAAAACTAGAGGACTTGAACAAAGCCATCTGTCTGCAGCTGTAGTTTGAATTTCTGAGCTGTGAGGATTGCCTTCCAATTAATCCCTTTTGCAATCTCTGTGTGAACCTTTCAGATTTGTTCGTCCCCTTTGTATTATTTTTCTGGGGCTGAGATTTCTTCATCTCCTTTTGCTTTTCTAGATTCTGTTCTTTTTGCTCTCTCTTTCAACATGTATCAAATATGTTATTTCCCCACAAACATCCTTGATTTTCTTATTTTATATGCAGAATATGCTGAACTTGATGTTTTGTTGACTTAAAGCTACTTTTCCTTTCAAACAGGAAATGTGAACATAAATTGGTTTGCAATTTATTTACTGCATTTATTCTGTGGTACCATCTTCAAGCTGGAAAACTAAGGTGACATGTAGAACTGAGCATTTTTCCTCTCTTACAGATATTTCTATGAGTTCCTCAGGGTGTTTATTAGAAGTTTCCTCATTTATATTGCCCTGGAACCTTTTATCTGTAAATTGGTTGCATGTCCTTTGCATTGTGTCATAAATGATTTCCCTAGTCCTGTATTTCTGAAAGAAGTGATCTACTTTCAAATGATGGGATCCATATCCTACTTAGCCTGTCACAACAAAGAGTTACAGTGATGATACCTTTTCCTGCCCACCTTCTTTGACTGCAGATCAGCTGGCTCCTGATTCAAGCAGTATGGCAAAGGTGAAATAAGAGAAGCCCCGTGTGTGCAGTGGGGAGAGCAGCTATTCTGTTTAAGAAACGGGGTTCATTTAGGGCGTTGTTGCTAGCTTTGTCAAAAGGCATTTGTCACAGCATCATGCTGCAGGCTTTTCCCTCCGGCCAGATTTCTGTGTACAGCATTCCAGCTCCAGATGCTGAACAGGCTGTAGAGCAGGTAAGAACCCCCAGCTAAGCTTTGTAGTAGGAACACAGTAAATAAATTATCTCTGTCTACTCCTGTGTCCACTGACCCCTGTCCTTCATAAATTGCTCTTAACTAAAGTGATAAAAATTCCCCCTAGCCTTTCCCAGATTGAGATGCTTACAAAAAGGAAATAGCCAAGAGAGATGAGGGTTTCATGTGTGACGTAGCTGATAACATGAAAGATCTTATCTCAGTTTTAACCTCTTTAAAACTATGAGAGTAAATACACCAAAATATGATATATTAGCTCTTCTTTTTCCGTACTAACTGATGCCATCCATGGTCTTGCTCTAGGAAAGTCTGCATGTTTGCTACTGCCCATCCTACCAAGAAGGTTTGTGCCAAAAGTATTGTTTCTTCAAGTGGATGAAATTGTGTTTGTGGAGGAGATGTCTTCTAGGAATATTACCTACAGTTTCTTTAACAGTTACAGCAGTCGTGCTAGTTCTGCACTACTCACTCTGTGAGTGTTACTCCCCAGCGTGGACTAGGTGGGATGGATGTTTCACACTGTGAAAAGCTCTGCAATAAGCAGCTGAGCATGTAATGTGTGCTACTACTGACTTCCCCTTCTCATTAATGTCTTTGCTAAAGCAATAAAATACACAGTAATTAGCAGTGAGTAGTTGCACAAGAATATTGAACATGTGCATTTTATCGCTAATTATTTTTTGTCACTGCTCGTGAATACCGTCATTATTGGTATTAAGTGTTATCTTTTGCAGGTACCTATACGAATTCTTTGTCTAGTTTCTCTTCACTTTCTTTAAAAACAGAATGGGTACCTAAATTGTTTATGTACTTTTCCAAATGTCAACACATAGCCATTAAAGCCATGCCTCTTCAGGAGGAGAGTACTGCAAAAAAACTGGAAACTTAACAATGTAATCTTCCTAGTAGAAATGTCTGCCCAAACCTTTATCTCCTTCCTTTTCTTTCCTGCTGGGCACTACTCTGCCAGTGGAACTGACTCAGTGCTCTAGTTATTACTGCATGCTTGCTTTAAGAGCTAACACCTGTAAATGCCAAGGACAAGCACAAAATTCTGCAAGCATCTTGCTCTGTGACATTATTAGGTGTGCTAATTTTTTACCTTTTTTTTTTTTTTCTTTTTTCTCAGCTCCAGCTTTTTCCTTTATTTGTATTGGTGGAAGTGTAGCAATTCCTAATTTGACTTATACAAATGACCTCAATGATCCAACATCACAGAAGTTCATCCTGCAAGCAAACACAATCCAAAATTATGTCAGTTTCCACATAAGTAGAGAAATATTTTGTAAATATTTATACAGAAGCATTGTCCATATGTTCCTTGAACTCTGACAAGCTTGGTGCCACGAACCCCTCCCTAGGGAAGCTGTTACAAGTTTCTGTAGGGTTTATTCTACACTAGGACTAATTCCAATGGGTTCCTTTCCATAAAATTACTCTCACAACTCAAAACCATACAGACTTTATTTTAGAGCATTATATCTATTACTTTCAGAAAATGTATGTTTTATGGCAGTCCAGTCACAGCTGAATTCCTCCTCATAGTAGGGGGTTGGCAGGTTCCATCCTCAGAGTCACTGTTGTCTATTAGCATAAGTGAGTTCAGATGATATTTAAATTTGAGTGGTTACACTGCTCCTACTTTTCAGAGTCAAATTTCATGTTTGAGCTCAAGGAATCTGTCTTCCTCAACCAAATAAATAAACAAGTTGTAGGATTTGAGGAAGGATGGTTTCAAGAGGGAAACTTTACTTAAATTTTAGGAACTTTCAGAAAGAGGTTAGCTGGGCATGAGGATTCAGCTAGGAATCTGAAATGCACTTGTTTAGGAGTGCTTTAAGTCAATTGAGTAGGTGGTCCTCTTCGGCTCTATTAATGTACTAATTGCTCTCTATGCAACAAGACATAACAGATTGCCATTGCTGGCATGGAATGGACACAAGGTTTTTGTAAGGGGTTACTCTCAAGCTGTAGCTTAACAAGTAGAATACTGTTCCTGATGTGGGCCTACATTTGTTCTGCTACTTATTACAGATTGTTGCTGCAATTGTTACTTCATTGTGCATTATTGACACTGGCTCAGCTTTTTAGGAACCGCAAATGTAGAGCTGGCCATGAGCATGAAAACACCTGGAAGTCAGCAAGACCAACACAGTTCATAGAACATTGATGCAGTAAGCTGTAAGACAAAATTCAAGAATGTGCATTGATGTCTGCCTATAAAGAACCATAACAGAATTTGGTGACTGAAATTATGTTAAAAGCCTGATGGTACCTCAGAAAAAATTGGACTTTTTTGGTTGCTTTCACTGCCACCCTAAAAAATGTGTTGTTTTGCTTATGTCTAATAGTTTTGTGCTTGTGTCAGCCTAGTGACATACTTAGGATACATACTAGAACTAATAGTAACAGTATGTCCAATAGCTGTGACAGCCAGTAACTAGGGTAGCCATTATTCCCTGATGTTGAGGTCCAGGGTCACACATGGTGACTGAACTGATTCTCTCCAGTTTCTGTAAACTGCAGTAATAAATCTGTTCAGTGACAAATCCTAAAGCATGCTCAAGCTGAGATGAAGAGGTGTGCTGTGAGAGTAAGTATCTCACGTGGGCAACTCTTCTCATTGCTTGCCTTGCTTTTCTGATGACACTGTGACAGAAGGTACAGATAGAAGATAAGCCAGGCTGTCCACTGGGTTGATGCTGAAATATTTCCACATGGCAATGTGGAGAGTACTTAAATTGTTATTTTATAAATGTTTTGTCAGCTATTATGATAGAAAGGATTTAATAATGTCTGCAGGAGAGGCAAAGCAGAGATTTATTCCCTAGTACCTCACTTGAAACGCGTGAAAGGAATAGCCTGCTAAAGCAGAAGACAACTACTTTCAATTTAAGGTTAAAAAAATTTATTTTAATGCTGCCAATCTGGACCTTAGTTACATCAAAGAACTTGATGCAGGGCTGTGATGGAAATAGTCTGTTACTGTGAGGTCTAAGCTTAATTGCTTTCATTTGCTGTGCATAGAAAAAGAGAAACCTGTTAGAAATTTGTAATGTATAGATTCACAGATATCACAAAATATTCTGAGTTGGAAGTGACCGACAAAGATTATTGAGTTATAAATAAATGAATAAAGTCCAAAATATGATGCAGGTTGCAAAATAGAATAATCAAAAGAGTGAATTACAGATGCAAGAAATAGCATCTCACATTACAAGTAAAAGAACAACAGGAAGTAACAGTTGCCAAGCACGGAGCTTCA